GAACTGGTTAAATCTCTGCTCACCAGATGGTGACTCCGCTTCAGAAATGAGATGTGAAAGTCCATCTGAGTAACAAAGAAATAGGGTCCTGGTTATCTCTGCTACTAACATAATGTGTAAAACCTGCCTGTGACTGCAGAGTGAAGACTTTAGGAAACAAATTAAATCTGTCAGTAAACAGGGCTCTATTTTTGATCAGTGTGGACCGATAACCTGAGTGATAAGACCACTATGGATCAGATCACTACAAAGGTCCTGATACAGAGTGAGAAAAGAATCTCCTGTTGCACATCTCCACGCTACCTTACACCAGAGACTTTGGACGTTTGCACCACCAGTTCAAGGACATGAAATTCATGAAAACTCTGAACTGCAGATATTCTGGATGCACAAGTTGTATGACCACCTCTGTGTGCCTGCACTGTAGCCACACTGCTGCAAGAGTCTGTACTTGATCAGTTGGCACCGAGGGACCCAGCGATTTTGTGGTGAACCTGCTGCTTCCTTCATGACAGCCTGTGTTCATTTTCATACATTGGCTGTGTAAGGCAGATCCCACTTTTCTTGGTTTTGCAAAGCAACCCCCACTTACATTCTTCTTCTATGCAGTTTGTACAGCAAGGAAAACTGCATTTACATTCATCACTGAACCCTCTAACACATCAGTAGTTTCACCTAATGCCTATAGCTGGAAAAAAGAAGACAGAAATTACACAAAATAGCAATCCCACTCTCAGTAGCTGTCCTCTCATTGTTTCCCCAAACCAAAAGTCTTAGGACAAAGGATGAGGTTCTAAGCCTTGCCTTCCAGCTTCTTTTTAAAAATAGCCTTATCTTCTCTGGTGTGGATGTGAAGAGTATTCTTGTGCATGCACAATAACACATGATGAATTATCATTTCCTTCCCCTCCCCATCACCAGTGTCAAGTGGTAGGAAACAGCTGCTCTTCTTGTCTTCAGATTGCTTTAGCAGCAGGGTGAACTGAGACTGATCTTAAATACAACAAGCCAGGCTAGTGCTCAAAGTTTGGCTTTGAAACCAAATAAGCTCTGCAACTAATGAGGTGACTCCAGCACTGACCTCTCACATTGGAGATCAAGAGAGAGGTCACCCAAAAGCTTTATCCCTCCTTAGCAACATGGATCCCACTCCTTGCTTGGCACCTATCAAATTAGGGGGCACATCCTTGATAATGTTCCAATCGGAAGCATAACCTGGCTAAAGGATAAACTGCAGGCAGAAAAATACAGCATTTCGGCTAGCAAGAAAAGCAATTGTTTTTCAATGAAATTAAAATATGTACACATGCACATGTATTTCAGTATTGTACCAGCATTACCTTCTACAGAGAAATCTTGCTTCTCACTCTGATCATCAGCTCCAGAGTTGTTTATTTCTGTTTCTTCAATTTCCCTTCTGTCCTTGCCTTCAGATTTCCCAAAGTCAAAGCCCCTGAAGAATTTTTTGATGGCTGAAGGCTGCCCTTTAGATTTCCCAGGAGAGGACCTCTTCCCTTGGAACTGTTTTATAACAAAGTCAAATGGGGAACTCTTTGGGATGTCCTCTTCATGCTTATCCTGGCAGCTCTGAATGTTATCTTTCAGGGGATCAGCAGACATAGAAGGAATTAGTTTTAGTAACATTTGCTCTTGCTTACCCTCTTTCATAAAGGCAGATGCACTGAGAATTTCCTACCATTCCCTCCACGTTAATATCAGAACCGCACTGTTTAGTGGACCAGACTCTGAACTCATTTCTCCTCTTTCAGAAGGAACTGGTAATGCTCAGTATTTGCACAGCAGACTCACTGGTCCCAGTCCTCAATGGTACAAGTATCACTCTCTGCTGCCTTGTCAATGCAGATTGCCCCTAAGGTCACTGAGCGCTGAAGGGCTAACCTGCTGCTTCCCCTATCACTTAATCCCCAGGTTCAGTTCAGAGTCTTGTGGCCCCATTAAAGAAGTAAGGCTGACATGTCCCCGTTCTGAGGCGAAACCAGCTTAAGGTTGGCACCAAAGTGATCCTTCATGCCAAAGGCCAGTCCAGCAACAAGGAAGGTGCGAGGAGGAGGCGTGCAACAGGGAGTACAGGGACATCCTTGCCTGAACAATGTCACACGCTCTCAAACTCAGGGTGGAGCATGCAAATGAAATGCCATTAATCTTAGTGCAAAGCTGAAGTGATAGTGCAGAAAACAACCAAATAGAAAGTAGCTATGAATACTGGTAATGTGCCAGTGCTGGAAGAAAACAAGCCCCCCAGATAGCTTGTTTGGAACAGTTCAGTACTATAGTGACCTCAGTTTCAGTGGCTAATTCACAGGTAAATTAAAGTTTGACTTTATAGTAATTTATACATATTCTTTCCTTATTTCTGTTTATATTACACAAGCTATACCATTACCCAGTGACTCTGAAGCTGCTTTGGTTTTTTTCTAAACATTTTTTTAATTCTAACATTTGCCCTCACACACATGCTTTTAACCATGCAATCAGTCATAAAAACTAAGCAGACATTGACTTTTGCTTTGTGAGGACTATGGGGAAAAGGTATCTATCAAGTACTACAGTGTGTCATTGACTGCATGGGGAATGACCTGTGCTTGGAGCTCGATCCTGTAATACACAAAGCTCATGAATGGATTTCTGTGCTTACACAGATTCCTCCTTCCCCAGTACAGACCCACACACAGAACTCATTCCACAATTCTCCATCATCCATAGAGCACAGGAACTTGATCATTTTAATAATTGTTTGTTATGCATCTAATGTCACTGGCATCAATTTTCCAAAAAGGAGAAACGTGGAGAAGTATTAGAAACGCTATGACTTTCACAGATAGGTTTTGTGTTATTATAGCAAGAGTCAGATCAGGGGGAAAATGTCAAAATAAATCAAATGTAGTTTTTATATACACATATTTTTCTTTGTGTGTGCATATATATTAATGTAGGTATACTCACTGATGTATCTCTATATATGTATATAAATTTTCTTCTTGTCTTGGAAGTCATCTGCCATGATACAAGCGTGCAAGGGCAGGGCACGTATAATTACAAAAAGCTGATGCATTGTTTAAAGTCTTGCTCTTAATACTCTGTCACAGCTGTATTTCTTATAAGTACAAAAATTATGTAAAACAACGTACATAGCTGTGCATGCACATTTGGTGAGCTGTAAAGCAATGCTGGTTACCCAGGCTGTGTTTTCACCCTGTAGAACAGTATTATTTTAAACAAACATACCTGTCTCTTCCATTGGCACACTTGAGGATCTGCTCCACCTTGTGCAGCAGTTTCAGGGCTTGAAGGAGAAGTGAGCCATGACACGCAAACAAAACCTCACTTCTTTCCCTGATAGGACTTTCCACGTACTTTTCTTTCAAGAGTTTCTGTCTTCATCAGTTTGATAGCAGCAGCTCTGCACAAGCAGTTTGTGGGCTCTTTCCTGATGCCTCTATTCCTTTGCGCTGCCTCCTGACGTCAGCCTGCTGTCCCTGGCCTCTCTTTCCTGGGGGAATTTGAGAGGACCATTTAAATGCTCTGGTCATGTCCCAGCTTAGATCACTCAGAAGGCAGAAATCAGGAAGTGGCAGCACAGACTTCTCACCGAAACAGCTGCTGTTAGAAGAGGCTGAGTCACCTTATAGATCAGGTTACAAGACTACCTGAAGAAAAACTCTTTGTTTTCCCACCCCTTTTGTCCATACTGGTCAGAAATACAGCTGGAGGCTGAGCACAGCCGTGCTGTCAGCAGGATGTTGCATAGTTCAGTAAGAAAAAGGAATACAGAGAACTAGCGCACTCCTGTTCATTTTAGGGCAACGGGTGGTATGAGAGGAGAGGTCCTACTGCATCATCAGTACAATCTGCTTGCAGGCAACAGCATGATACAACATTACGACGCAATCATTTGCTACGTCGCATACATACATCAAACTGCACTATACCTTTTTTTGTCTGTCTGCCCTAGAATCTGATTTCCATGACAATGACTGTTACAATTTCAAGCTTAAACATACTCATGTCCATTTATCCTGAATCTCTTTAGCTTTGATGATTCTTTTTAATCTATGAGCTCTTCACTTTTGTAGGTTAAGCCAACCAAACTCTTCTTGTCTCCTCTCATGTGGCAAACTCTCCATTTGCCTTATCTCCTGCTCACCTTTGTCTGCACCTGTTGCAGTATAATTTATACTTCCTTAAATACAAGGGATCATCCATTGATATGTATACACTAAAGACATGTGCAAACTGGAGTGCTTTTGGTGGGGAATGATAAAGCTGGTCAACAAAACTAATGCAGACACCAGTCGTGAGGACAGGTTTGACTCAGTGTGTCAACGTACAAATGATTCAGACAGGGTGGAATAAGGTGTGCTGCTAGGAGCCAACAGGATAAGATCAAGAGAAGAAAAACTTACAGTGAACATCAGGAAAATCCTCCCAGTCATGAGAAGTACCACACTGGGAAACATTTACAGCAGGAAAAAAATGCACAAAACTACTGCGATGAACCTTCTTTCCCTGCAGGAATGGAGGACACATTTCTATTCCTAAACAGAAAGGATCTCCAAGTTGGTTTTACGATGTTCTGTGACCCAGAGTGGCTGTCCTGTCCCAGATTCTGAAACTAGCATCTCACTACAGACCTGTATCCACTGGGAAAGATCACCTCCTTGTGTGCTGATTCACTTCACATGTTCAGGCATTTCAGCTATGCAGACAATCGAGAACCCCAAGCATTTCTATTGGTAAGGAACTCATTCAATTTGACAGCTCTTTTCCACTTTACTTGTGCTTAACAACAGAGTGGCTAGGGATGAAACCAAGACAAGGCAATCCGTGTTTGTGAAGATGTGCCAGGCTCTGCTGGCCCAAGGCACATGATGCCTGCTGCAGTTCAATGAGAACATGGAATGAGAATATCTGGTAATTTCTGCTCCCTGAAACTGGGGAAATCCTTAAGCATGTTAACCACCGATTACAGTGGTTAGGCTGGGCTAACTTGAATGCTCTGACATCAGTGTGTTAGGTGATGTATTGCCCATTCAGAAATTCTTTCCCCACTTTAGGCTGTTGAATGATAGTGAAAATACCTCATGGCACCATGACAGCATCCCTGTAACCCAGTGAGAAGGGAAATGTAGTTTTGCAGTAACGTAGTTTCCTCTTCCTACAAAGCAAACCTTTACCTTTCTTTACAGCAGCTGTGTGGAACAAAGGGACAGCAGGGTTATTCCAAAGCAAAGCAGGATACGTAGAGTAAGGCAGCTGCACTGGACTAAAAACACAAGCTTTACATTGCAATAGCCTACGCTGTGCTGTGAACACGCAATGTATCGCAACAGAGAGGCCCGGCTATGCCCCTGTTAAATGCTAGACAAGTGGGCCTCGCTGCCTCAGCTGCTGCCTCTGCCACGGCATACTTCTGAACATGTGTCCTGCTCCTGCCTCACGGACCTGTGTGTCTGCTTCTCGCTGTACATCATGGACAGCACAGGGCAGGCTTAGCTTTTGGAGTTTAAAAATAACAAACGCCTTCCCCTTTCTATCCAGTTAAATGGTTTGTGACCATCTGCTGAGTGCTCAGTGTCACACTTGTTTATATCTGCTCTTCCCTCTGTGTAGACCTGGGGCAAGGTTAGGAGCAGTACCAAATTTGGAAGAAAATAGTTAAAGTTGAATCCAAAACAGCATCCACTGGTAAGAGATTAATGTGGATTTTTGTACTTTGCCTCATTGTGACTCCTTAATACGGCATATATTCCAAAGAAATAATGCCATTAGAGGATTAGTGCCACAAGTTCATTTGAAAAAAAGGATTTGCAAACACTGAAATCCTATATTCTATGTACTTAATGACCGAGTATCGTTTTGGGGATTTCCTCTCCCTTTAGTAGTGTCTCTTTCAATGAAACACAAGCAAAGTAGGAACTCTGTTTTGGATGGCACTTATTATCCCTTAAAGAAAAACAAAATCCCAGGTATCTGGTTAAAAAAATATAGAATCCAAACACACTGGACTAAATCCATCCTTGCTGTCGTACAATCACTGCAGTTATACCAGGGAGGCACTTGGCCCAATATTTGTATAGAATTTAATGTTTTTTGATATTTATCTACTAGGGATTTTTAATATTGAGTCCTGTAGCATGAAGTAACACGGTGACCCTTGTTTGCTTCTAAGGCAGTTCCCTTCCCCAGCTCTGCTCACACCCAGTGAAGCCACTGTTCTCTCTTTGGGAGAAGGAGACTGAATCACTGCCCTGTTATTCTTTCTCCCTTTCCTTAGCACACATCTCTGATGCATGACTGTCACTGCCTGCAGCAGCCTCCCTGGGCTTCTCTTGCTTGGCTTGATTTGTTGCAGGCTGCCTAGGTGAGGTGGGCAGTTGCATTGGCCAAGAAATTGGGGGGGTGAAAAATGCTTATTGCCCCATGGCTGACTTTGCCAGTGCCAGGTGACCCGCTCTTGGGCTGTGCTGACTCAGAATAGATGTGCCAGGAGCTGCTGGCAAATGAGGACAGGGGAAGAGTGGCCTGCTCCAGTACCAGGTTCACTGCCCACGTACATCAAACCATGCCCTCCAGAGCTCTCTCCACCCTCTTTCTCCTGCTCCATCCCTTCCATTCATCCTCCGAGTTTGATCCAGTTCTGATCCCTTATAACTGAGGCAGCAAAATTCAGTCTTGTCTACATAGCTGAGAAGCCTTCAGCTGGCACTTTATGTTGCTAGCATCACAGCATCTGTGTCATCCACTGACTTGACTCTCTTTACACCCAGAAAACTCACAGAGCAGCAGGGGTCAGCTTTAGGGCCAGACAAAAACCTTCAGAAGAGACTTCACACACAATGGGCTGGAAGGACCGTTCCCTGAGGATGAATGAATAGATGCAGCTGCACTCACCAGCGGGAAGTGCTCTGCAGAGCCTAGGTTAGAAGACGTCATTTGGGCTTCCAGGTACAGCTCAGTAGTGTGCTGCCATCTGAATAAACACTTTTCCATATATTCTTATACTCAGAAATATTGTGCAACACTGACAATTCCCCGGAGCAAACCTGTACCAGACGTCCCTCCACTGAGATCGGCGTGCATGCCTGAGGATTCAGTTTGGACCAAAGTAGCTGAGTATCCTCATCATTTCCCACAAAATAAATATTCGACATTCTGATCATCAGCCTGCAGTAGCTCCTGAGGCAGCTGTTTAAAATACATTTCACAGGGTTATCAAAACTAAATCCAATCCCTTATTCCATATTTATGTACAACCATAGACTGTCCATGGGCTGGAGGGGTGGGGTTTGAAGAGACACTGAGAACATACGAAGCCAGCTAAAATCTTGGGTTCAGAAACACATATGCCTCTGAGTAACCTGAAACAGTCCCCTAAATTCAGTGAGACTTTTCATGGGTGGAAAGGCTGAGGAAGATTTTGGCATTTCACTGTACTTTTACACTATAAAACATAAAAAAAAGTAAAGTTATTGAACTCTGGTGCTAGCATGCAAAGGTGGTCTTTGCCTGACTCAAGACACTTGGCAGGACAATCTTGCAAGCGCATGTGCTGGGTGAACTGGTTGTGAGCAGAGGTGTGTTGACAGGCCCTGTTGCCACTGATTTTTCATAGTTGTAAGAATTTCAACCTTGCATATACCAGCACGAGCTGCTAAGCATGAGCTGTAGAATTCTAAAACATACTCTTTTTTCCAAAACCAGAATCTACCTTACCTACTATAAAATAAATAGATTTTCCCAACTACTATCTCATATTGAATATGCATTTTGATTTCCATAAAAAGCATGACTAAAAGATCTATTACAACAAATGTATATTTATAGCCACAATGCAGGTATTTTTAACACTCTGATATCGAGTTACTCTTTTTTAAATGGAACTATACAAATACAAACTTAATGTTTCGTTCTCTATTACAATATATTAATCTGATGGAGAAGATTTGCAGGCTGGAAAATTCTTTTTGGTTGAACTTACACCAGGATTAATCCCCTTTCAGTTAATCATTTACATGAATGGGTAATCTCCGGAGTTCATGCAAGGCCTGCAAACTATATTAATTACTGGAAACCTAATTAGAAATCAACAGAGTCAAAGGATCAGTGTTACTTCCATACGGTACCATCTGGTACAATGGGTCTGGATAGTTCAGCAAAACTCCCCATTGCATTCTGTGGAACTTCAACCTGAATATGTGTTGCCAGAGAGAGCAAGTTTATGCTGATATGTGAGCTAGT